TCACTCTGAGAAGCTGTTTAGAAAGGGGAAGCGTTGCAACTCACTCTGAGAAGCTGTTTAGAAAGGGGAAGCGTTGCAACTCACTCTGAGAAGCTGTTTAGAAAGGGGAAGCGTTGCAACTCACTCTGAGAAGCTGTTTAGAAAGGGGAAGCGTTGCAACTCACTCTGAGAAGCTGTTTAGAAAGGGGAAGCGTTGCAACTCACTCTGAGAAGCTGTTTAGAAAGGGGAAGCGTTGCAACTCACTCTGAGAAGCTGTTTAGAAAGGGGAAGCGTTGCAACTCACTCTGAGAAGCTGTTTAGAAAGGGGAAGCGTTGCAACTCACTCTGAGAAGCTGTTTAGAAAGGGGAAGCGTTGCAACTCACTCTGAGAAGCTGTTTAGAAAGGGGAAGCGTTGCAACTCACTCTGAGAAGCTGTTTAGAAAGGGGAAGCGTTGCAACTCACTCTGAGAAGCTGTTTAGAAAGGGGAAGCGTTGCAACTCACTCTGAGAAGCTGTTTAGAAAGGGGAAGCGTTGCAACTCACTCTGAGAAGCTGTTTAGAAAGGGGAAGCGTTGCAACTCACTCTGAGAAGCTGTTTAGAAAGGGGAAGCGTTGCAACTCACTCTGAGAAGCTGTTTAGAAAGGGGAAGCGTTGCAACTCACTCTGAGAAGCTGTTTAGAAAGGGGAAGCGTTGCAACTCACTCTGAGAAGCTGTTTAGAAAGGGGAAGCGTTGCAACTCACTCTGAGAAGCTGTTTAGAAAGGGGAAGCGTTGCAACTCACTCTGAGAAGCTGTTTAGAAAGGGGAAGCGTTGCAACTCACTCTGAGAAGCTGTTTAGAAAGGGGAAGCGTTGCAACTCACTCTGAGAAGCTGTTTAGAAAGGGGAAGCGTTGCAACTCACTCTGAGAAGCTGTTTAGAAAGGGGAAGCGTTGCAACTCACTCTGAGAAGCTGTTTAGAAAGGGGAAGCGTTGCAACTCACTCTGAGAAGCTGTTTAGAAAGGGGAAGCGTTGCAACTCACTCTGAGAAGCTGTTTAGAAAGGGGAAGCGTTGCAACTCACTCTGAGAAGCTGTTTAGAAAGGGGAAGCGTTGCAACTCACTCTGAGAAGCTGTTTAGAAAGGGGAAGCGTTGCAACTCACTCTGAGAAGCTGTTTAGAAAGGGGAAGCGTTGCAACTCACTCTGAGAAGCTGTTTAGAAAGGGGAAGCGTTGCAACTCACTCTGAGAAGCTGTTTAGAAAGGGGAAGCGTTGCAACTCACTCTGAGAAGCTGTTTAGAAAGGGGAAGCGTTGCAACTCACTCTGAGAAGCTGTTTAGAAAGGGGAAGCGTTGCAACTCACTCTGAGAAGCTGTTTAGAAAGGGGAAGCGTTGCAACTCACTCTGAGAAGCTGTTTAGAAAGGGGAAGCGTTGCAACTCACTCTGAGAAGCTGTTTAGAAAGGGGAAGCGTTGCAACTCACTCTGAGAAGCTGTTTAGAAAGGGGAAGCGTTGCAACACACTCTGAGAAGCTGTTTAGAAAGGGGAAGCGTTGCAACTCACTCTGAGAAGCTGTTTAGAAAGGGGAAGCGTTGCAACTCACTCTGAGAAGCTGTTTAGAAAGGGGAAGCGTTGCAACTCACTCTGAGAAGCTGTTTAGAAAGGGGAAGCGTTGCAACTCACTCTGAGAAGCTGTTTAGAAAGGGGAAGCGTTGCAACTCACTCTGAGAAGCTGTTTAGAAAGGGGAAGCGTTGCAACTCACTCTGAGAAGCTGTTTAGAAAGGGGAAGCGTTGCAACTCACTCTGAGAAGCTGTTTAGAAAGGGGAAGCGTTGCAACTCACTCTGAGAAGCTGTTTAGAAAGGGGAAGCGTTGCAACTCACTCTGAGAAGCTGTTTAGAAAGGGGAAGCGTTGCAACTCACTCTGAGAAGCTGTTTAGAAAGGGGAAGCGTTGCAACTCACTCTGAGAAGCTGTTTAGAAAGGGGAAGCGTTGCAACTCACTCTGAGAAGCTGTTTAGAAAGGGGAAGCGTTGCAACTCACTCTGAGAAGCTGTTTAGAAAGGGGAAGCGTTGCAACTCACTCTGAGAAGCTGTTTAGAAAGGGGAAGCGTTGCAACTCACTCTGAGAAGCTGTTTAGAAAGGGGAAGCGTTGCAACTCACTCTGAGAAGCTGTTTAGAAAGGGGAAGCGTTGCAACTCACTCTGAGAAGCTGTTTAGAAAGGGGAAGCGTTGCAACTCACTCTGAGAAGCTGTTTAGAAAGGGGAAGCGTTGCAACTCACTCTGAGAAGCTGTTTAGAAAGGGGAAGCGTTGCAACTCACTCTGAGAAGCTGTTTAGAAAGGGGAAGCGTTGCAACTCACTCTGAGAAGCTGTTTAGAAAGGGGAAGCGTTGCAACTCACTCTGAGAAGCTGTTTAGAAAGGGGAAGCGTTGCAACTCACTCTGAGAAGCTGTTTAGAAAGGGGAAGCGTTGCAACTCACTCTGAGAAGCTGTTTAGAAAGGGGAAGCGTTGCAACTCACTCTGAGAAGCTGTTTAGAAAGGGGAAGCGTTGCAACTCACTCTGAGAAGCTGTTTAGAAAGGGGAAGCGTTGCAACTCACTCTGAGAAGCTGTTTAGAAAGGGGAAGCGTTGCAACTCACTCTGAGAAGCTGTTTAGAAAGGGGAAGCGTTGCAACTCACTCTGAGAAGCTGTTTAGAAAGGGGAAGCGTTGCAACTCACTCTGAGAAGCTGTTTAGAAAGGGGAAGCGTTGCAACTCACTCTGAGAAGCTGTTTAGAAAGGGGAAGCGTTGCAACTCACTCTGAGAAGCTGTTTAGAAAGGGGAAGCGTTGCAACTCACTCTGAGAAGCTGTTTAGAAAGGGGAAGCGTTGCAACTCACTCTGAGAAGCTGTTTAGAAAGGGGAAGCGTTGCAACTCACTCTGAGAAGCTGTTTAGAAAGGGGAAGCGTTGCAACTCACTCTGAGAAGCTGTTTAGAAAGGGGAAGCGTTGCAACTCACTCTGAGAAGCTGTTTAGAAAGGGGAAGCGTTGCAACTCACTCTGAGAAGCTGTTTAGAAAGGGGAAGCGTTGCAACTCACTCTGAGAAGCTGTTTAGAAAGGGGAAGCGTTGCAACTCACTCTGAGAAGCTGTTTAGAAAGGGGAAGCGTTGCAACTCACTCTGAGAAGCTGTTTAGAAAGGGGAAGCGTTGCAACTCACTCTGAGAAGCTGTTTAGAAAGGGGAAGCGTTGCAACTCACTCTGAGAAGCTGTTTAGGAAGGGGAAGCGTTGCAACTCACTCTGAGAAGCTGTTTAGAAAGGGGAAGCGTTGCAACTCACTCTGAGAAGCTGTTTAGAAAGGGGAAGCGTTGCAACTCACTCTGAGAAGCTGTTTAGAAAGGGGAAGCGTTGCAACTCACTCTGAGAAGCTGTTTAGAAAGGGGAAGCGTTGCAACTCACTCTGAGAAGCTGTTTAGAAAGGGGAAGCGTTGCAACTCACTCTGAGAAGCTGTTTAGAAAGGGGAAGCGTTGCAACTCACTCTGAGAAGCTGCTTAGAAAGGGGAAGCGTTGCAACTCACTCTGAGAAGCTGTTTAGAAAGGGGAAGCGTTGCAACTCACTCTGAGAAGCTGTTTAGAAAGGGGAAGCGTTGCAACTCACTCTGAGAAGCTGTTTAGAAAGGGGAAGCGTTGCAACTCACTCTGAGAAGCTGTTTAGAAAGGGGAAGCGTTGCAACTCACTCTGAGAAGCTGTTTAGAAAGGGGAAGCGTTGCAACTCACTCTGAGAAGCTGTTTAGAAAGGGGAAGCGTTGCAACTCACTCTGAGAAGCTGTTTAGAAAGGGGAAGCGTTGCAACTCACTCTGAGAAGCTGTTTAGAAAGGGGAAGCGTTGCAACTCACTCTGAGAAGCTGTTTAGAAAGGGGAAGCGTTGCAACTCACTCTGAGAAGCTGTTTAGAAAGGGGAAGCGTTGCAACTCACTCTGAGAAGCTGTTTAGAAAGGGGAAGCGTTGCAACTCACTCTGAGAAGCTGTTTAGAAAGGGGAAGCGTTGCAACTCACTCTGAGAAGCTGTTTAGAAAGGGGAAGCGTTGCAACTCACTCTGAGAAGCTGTTTAGAAAGGGGAAGCGTTGCAACTCACTCTGAGAAGCTGTTTAGAAAGGGGAAGCGTTGCAACTCACTCTGAGAAGCTGTTTAGAAAGGGGAAGCGTTGCAACTCACTCTGAGAAGCTGTTTAGAAAGGGGAAGCGTTGCAACTCACTCTGAGAAGCTGTTTAGAAAGGGGAAGCGTTGCAACTCACTCTGAGAAGCTGTTTAGAAAGGGGAAGCGTTGCAACTCACTCTGAGAAGCTGTTTAGAAAGGGGAAGCGTTGCAACTCACTCTGAGAAGCTGTTTAGAAAGGGGAAGCGTTGCAACTCACTCTGAGAAGCTGTTTAGAAAGGGGAAGCGTTGCAACTCACTCTGAGAAGCTGTTTAGAAAGGGGAAGCGTTGCAACTCACTCTGAGAAGCTGTTTAGAAAGGGGAAGCGTTGCAACTCACTCTGAGAAGCTGTTTAGAAAGGGGAAGCGTTGCAACTCACTCTGAGAAGCTGTTTAGAAAGGGGAAGCGTTGCAACTCACTCTGAGAAGCTGTTTAGAAAGGGGAAGCGTTGCAACTCACTCTGAGAAGCTGTTTAGAAAGGGGAAGCGTTGCAACTCACTCTGAGAAGCTGTTTAGAAAGGGGAAGCGTTGCAACTCACTCTGAGAAGCTGTTTAGGAAGGGGAAGCGTTGCAACTCACTCTGAGAAGCTGTTTAGAAAGGGGAAGCGTTGCAACTCACTCTGAGAAGCTGTTTAGAAAGGGGAAGCGTTGCAACTCACTCTGAGAAGCTGTTTAGAAAGGGGAAGCGTTGCAACTCACTCTGAGAAGCTGTTTAGAAAGGGGAAGCGTTGCAACTCACTCTGAGAAGCTGTTTAGAAAGGGGAAGCGTTGCAACTCACTCTGAGAAGCTGTTTAGAAAGGGGAAGCGTTGCAACTCACTCTGAGAAGCTGTTTAGAAAGGGGAAGCGTTGCAACTCACTCTGAAAGGTCAGCAGAAGACGAAGCCACAGCAGCAGCAGCGCCAAGCAGAGGGGCACCCAGTGAGACGGCAACGATGGCTCGAGAGGCAAGTCGCCTGTGGGATGCGGGTGCAGCGACGGCTATAGCAGCTGTAGCGGCTGTAGCAGGACCTGTCACAGCAGGTGTGGCTGTAGCAGTGACTGTAATAGGTGTGACAGCAGTGGGGAGAGCAGAACCCTGTTTCCTGCCGCCTGAAGTGTTGCTCTCAGAGGCGATCTCAACAGCAGCTTCATCACCCATTCCTCCCGATACTGTGGTGTTGTATTCGGCGGAAAGGTTTGCTGTATGGTGCTGCTTCTCTTCTCGCTCCTCCCCTCCGTCCTCCTCACCTTCCTCATCCCCTCCCTCCTCCTCACTCTCCTCCTCCTCACCTTTTTCTTCCTCCCTCTCCTCCTCATCCCCTTCCTCCCGTTCCCCCTCCCCCTCTCCCGCCCTCTCTTCAAGCAACCGAGCCAGCAGTGGTGCGTGAAACGAGTTGGGCGTGAGGGAAAACACGGACTGCAGCTGGCCGTTGGATCGGATTTCAACGGCCGGAGATGTGCCCAGACTGTCCGGCGAGCCCATGTGCCTGAACACACTGGATTGGCCGACCGGGAGAGGGGAAGAGACAAAGAAACCCGCCCCTGCGGCGGCAGTTGGAAGAGAGGATGTTATATACTGGGGTCGAGTTGGGGGTGAGAAGGCATAGGCTGGTAGGGGGCGAGAGGAGGAAGATGTGGGGTGGTAAAGCTGGTTGTGGGAAGAAGAAGAGGAGGAGGGGAGTGAAGGGGGGTGTGAGGAGGGGAGAGGGGTGGGAGGAGAGGAGGGAGGGGTGTAGCGAAGGATGAGCACTGAGAGGCTGACGGTGGTGAATGCGAGAAGGGTGCCCACACTGACCTGATGTGGGCATGGGGGAGGCAGACAGGGGGAGAGGAGGAATGGAGGCGAAAGTGGGGTGAGAGGATGGGAGAAGGAGTATAGATCAAAAAAGGATGAGGAGTGTGAGGCTGACAGTGGTGAAGGCGAGGAGTGTGCCGACACTGACCTGGTGTGGGCATGGGGGAGGGAGATAGGGAGAGAGGAGTTCGAGAGAAAGGGAGGAGATGGGCAGATTATCAATCACTGAAGGATGAGGGCTGAGAGGCTGACAGTGGTGAATGCGAGGAGGGTTGGTTGGAAGGAAGAAGAGGGTAAGAATAAACAAGATGACTCTGAAAACCATGCCATGATTACGCCCCCCACTCACCATGGTCCCACTAGCCCCCCTCCCCCCTCCTCTCCCACCACCCCCTTCCAACCCACCATGCCTAACAGCTGCCCGATATCCAGCACAAACGCCATGGCAGCGGCCAATAGCCCGGTGAGGTGAGCTATGACAGCACGCTCCCGGTGCTCCCATGCCCCCAATCCCCCTCCAACAACCCCCCCCATCCACCATGCCTGACAGCTGCCCGATATCCAGCACAACACGCCACGGCGGCAGGCAATAGCCCGGTGACAGCATGCTCACATGCTCCCTACACGGAGAACCCTGCTTGCAACAACACCTTGCCCCTTCCCCCCAACCCACCATGCCTGTCAGCTGCCCAATATCCAGCACAAACACGCCACGGCGGCAGGCAATAGCCCATGTGAAGCATGACTGCACGCTCCCCATGCTCCCATGCCCCCAATCCACCCCTCTCCCCCCCACACCCGCCATGCCTAACACGCTTGTCACTACATAAATACATTATACGACGCCCACCATCCCTGGCCCCCCCACCCACCCACCATGCCTGACAGCTGTCCGATATCAAGCACGAACGCCATGGCGGCGGCCAATAGCCCGGTGACAGCTGTCGCGTTCTGCGGAACGCCCGTGGCCTTGTCGATGCGGCCGAACCAGGCTGGGAGGAGGCCATCGCGAGCCATGACCATCAGTATGCGCGGCTGTGGGGGAGGGGGGAGAAGGGGGAAGGGGTGTGAGGAGGGTGAGGCGCATCACAAATGGAACCAGGCAGGGAGGAGGCCGTCCCGGCCATCACCATGAGGATGCGCGGCTGGGGGGGGGGAGGGGAGTGTGTGGGTCATGTATGGGGAGTGTATATGGCGTGTGATGGAACCAGGCAGGGAGGAGGCCGTCCCGCGCCATCACCATCAGAATGCGCAGCTGTGAGTTCACCACAAGAGGAGAGGACAAGAGAACAGGAGGGAGGGAGGGGGGGGGGTGAAGGGGCAGTGGTCACATTGAGAGGCACTCTCGTCGTCTTGTCTATGTGGCCGAACCAGGCGGGGAGGAGGCCGTCCCGCGCCATCACCATCAGAATGCGCGGCTGTGAGTTCACCACAAGAGGAGAGGACAAGAAAACAGGAGGGAGGGAGGGGGGGGGCTGAAGGGGCAGTGGTCACGTTGAGAGGCACTCCCGTCGTCTTGTCTATGTGGCCGAACCAGGCGGGGAGGAGGCCGAACCAGGCGGGGAGGAGGCCGTCCCGTGCCATGACCATGAGGAGACCATGAGGGTGCGCGGCTGTGTGTGTGCATGTGGCACGAGGGGAGGAGAAGAGAGGAAGAGAAGGAAGGGGGTTTGGCGGCTTTAAAGAGTCGAGCCAGGCTGGGAGGGGGCCTTCCATGACCAGAGGGGGCCTTCCATGACCAGAGGGGGCCTTCCATGACCAGAATAACTATCAGATGAAAAAAGCACACTGAAGCAGCAGGGACTCGATCAATTATCCATACCAGACAAATGGGATAAGTGCTTAAATCTATCAGATGCAAATAGGGGCAGCAGGTGAGATGCGCATGCATGGCACCTACCTGGGGCAGCAGGGATCCGAGGAGAGTAGTGGAGAGAGCTGCGAGCGCACCCCCTGTCACAAGGTACCTGCGATACAAGCACATGTGCGGTACAGGCACATGTAAGATACGAGAACATGCGAGGTGCCTCAAAATTGGAGAGAGCTGCAAGCGCACCCCCTGTTACAAGTTACCTGCGATACAAGCACATGTAACATACGAACACGTGTGCTACAGTACATGCAGCTATGTGATATGCTATACAATCACGTATCTCGCGATTTGCACAGTTTTATCTCACACATACGAGGTGCATCCACTCGATGACTCACTCACTCTCTTACACATATGCACACTCTCCCACTCACTCGCTTGACCCACTCTAGGTGGTACGTCTGGAACGCCTGAGATTTGAGGCAACACACTCTCTCACTCACTCCCTCACTCACTCTGTCAATCACCCTCTCACATCACACTTTGCCCAGTCCAGGTGGTACGCCTCGAAGGCCTGAGCCATGGGCGTGTCAGGGTCAATGCGGTCAAACGGAGTCAACCCCACCAGCATCACCACTCCCTCACACCCTCCCTCTCCCACTTACTTGGCCCAATCCAAATGGTAGGTGTCAAACGCCTGAGCCATGGGTGTGTCCGGGTCAATGCGGTCAAACGGAGTCAACCCCACCAGCACCGCTGCTATCACCATGTAGAGAGCGCCACAGCAGGCAAGAGACAGACCTATCCCCAAAGGCAGGTCGCGCTGAGGGTGCTTCACCTGCGTATAGGGAATCGGGGAAAGGGAATTGGGGAATAGACAAGCGTAAATATAGGCAGGTAGACCGTAGAGTGGCGATATCACCATGTACAGAGAAAGGCCTATGCCCAGAGGCAGGTCCCCCTGAGGATGCTTCACCTGTGTTTAGGGAATTGGGGAGGGGAGAGCATTGGGAGGAAGACGAGGGGGGTTGGTGTGGGAAGGGAGAGTGCAGCTATGGTAGCACGAGTGGCCCCATCACCATGTAGAGAGAGAGCCGCAGCACGTCAGCAACAGGCCTATTCCCAGAGGCAGGTCACGTTGAGGGTGCTTCATCTGTATCAAGCACGATATTCAAAGAATCAAATGGTAGAAAGTTGATTGAATCCACACACGTACGTGAAATGGTGATAGTAGCCTACATATAATCAGCTGTGCTTTCACGAATGCCGGATGATCCAGCGTAAGTCAAGAGATGTAAGAGAAAAATGCCATTGAGTTAACAGCTAGCATTAGTGCCCTCGAGTTCACTTACCATGCCTCTTCTTCTGTGCTTGCAACAGTGTCAACTCTAATATAATGTGTGAAAAGAAGCAAGATCAAGTTCAATTCAGCATACATAGGCGAGTCCACTGTTCACTTAGCATACCTCTTCTGCTGTGCTGGCAACGGTGTCGAATCCAATGTACGAGAAAAAGGCCATTGCAGCTCCCCCGAGCAATCCAGAGACTCCGAATGGTAGGTAGCTGGAATAGAAAAGGCGAGACGGGGGAGAATCAGGGGAAGGAGGGCAAAACGAAAGCAAAGAAGGTAATCCCAGCTAGCATTCCAGGTACACTGAACGGTACATAAACTGGGATTGAGAGCAAAGAAGGAAAGGTAAGTGATTACAGACCTTCTCATGGAAATGAACAACAAAGAAAAGTATGAATTTTGCCACACGAGGGCTTGGAGGCACCGAAAGGAATGGTAAGGGTCTGAGTTTGCTTTAAGAGTTTAAATGAAAGGAACCATAACAGGGTTTTGAGATGACTCAAAACATGGAGACAGATGGAGGGGAGGTGAGGGCACATAGGGTCTGGATTCGAGTCAAAGGAAATGTAACAGGTTACCACCAACACAAAAACCCACACCACAAGCACCCACACCAAAAGCACTCGTCACAAGCACCCACATCCTCCCAAGATTACTGCATCGTAATCACCCACCTTGGAGACTCCTTGTACCCCGGCCATCCGTGGGTAAACCCTATCCATGCCCCCGCCACCGCCACAAACAGCAGTATTATCATATTCGCTACTGTCATCCCCATCTGGAAATTGGCGCTCTGTAAGACAATAGCAGGAGGCATATAGCAGTGGAAAAGGAAAACGAAACAAGAAAGAAATGAAGAATACAAACAGCAGTATTAGCACATTTGGAAATTGGCGCTCTGCAAGGGCAAGAGCGGAAACGGACGAGAGGAATAGTGAACAGAAGCAGAATACAGGGACACTTGAGTGAAGCAGTACAATCACATGGTTAGACATCCAACCAACAAAGTAACCACTGTCCTGAGAATCCGAACTTGTCTCCTGAGCCGTCAAGCGAGGTTCAGGAAGGTGCTGAGCTGGCAGCAGGGGCGGCCGGCCGTCCCTGCTGCCAGGCTGCCAGCTCAGCATTTTCCTGAACCTCGCTTGACGGCACAGGAGACAAATTCTTATTCTCAGGGTTGATTCCCCTGCCACCTCATCCTCATCTGGATATTGGCGCTCTGCAAGGCAAGAGCAGAAAGAGAGAGGAGGGATGTTGCAACGCAAGGAAGAAAAGAAAAGTGAAGAAAACAGAGACACACAAAAAGCACAATCACAATCGCTACTGTCTTCCTCCTCCTCCTGCGTCATCTCCCCCTCTTCTGCCCCGAGCTCAAGCACTCAGCCAACGTCTTTTCAGTCCATTGCTAGAGCGGCGGTTTTTGGACAGCTCAAGCGCCTTGTGTTGTTGCACTGCTTAGGGTTGGAGGAGGAGGAGTGGATCGAACTACTTGCCGTCTGTGCTAAGTTGGAGGAGCTTAGGGTTCAACGGAATGACAAATTTTCAGATGAAGTGGTGGCGAGAAGCAGACTGGATGCACTCACAGTTGACTGGCAGAGAGCAGTACCGTCACCGCAGCCACCATGATGGCAGCGCACGGATCCAACACTACAGTGGTGCCTGGGACTGGTCAGTCAACCCACCTCTTTAATGCCGGCAGACAGCAGTACTGTCACCGCAGCCACCATGAGGGCAGCACACGGATCCAACACTACAGTGGTGCCTGGGACGGGCAGACGAGCCAGGATGAACGGTAGGCTGTCTGGCCCTCCCAACGCCATTGCCTGAACAGGTGGTGGGAGGTAGGGCGGAGTGAGAGACGAGAGAATGAAGTTGGGAGATTGTATAGGGACTCACAGAGAACAAGACGGGCAGACGAGCCAGGATGAACGGCAGGGTGTCCGGCCCTCCCAACGCCGTTGCCTGAACTCATCATGTGGGATGGGTTGGGAAGGGGGGAAATGAGAGTACAAATTTGTATCGAAATGGGGCATGCAGGCGGGCCAGGGCAGGCTGTCTTTTGAGTCGACTCAAAAGGCACCTCAGTACAGATTTGTATCAAAATGGGACACGCAGGCGAGCCAAGGCAGGCTGGCTGCCCTGCCGAACGCTGTTGCCTGAACACTTGGTGAGGGCAGTGTGAGAACTGAGTGCGAAGCTGGGAGCGTACAGGTGTCTGCAAAGAACGGGAGTGGCAGGTGGGGCGGGATGGATCATGAAAGGCATGACATATGCCCCTCCAAATGCCATAGCCTGAACAGCGAACACGTGGTCGGGGGAGTGAGATAAGAGGACAGAGATGAGAGAAGGCGTGCTGTCACTCTGACCCTTTTTAGAGGGGCTATGAAAAGGGGTATTAGAGCATGCCTAAGAATGTGTGCACGCCTGAATGCACAAAATTGCCCCTAAGTGAGCAGAATTACCAGATTTGGTGAAATGCCTCGAGCCACTGCTGCCCCACCCACGGTATACTCTAGAATGAGGGCCCAGCCGACCAGCCACGCCACCCTGGTGGAGTCAGTAAGAGGGGAGGGGGTAACAGAGAGACGGCCTTGAGTTGAGTCAAACAAGTCTGCAACGCTGCTCGAGCCACTGCCACCCCAACCACAGAATACTCGAAGATGAGCGCCCAGCCGATCATGCCACCCTAGAGATGGGAGTCAGCAAGAGGGGATAAGAGAGAGATGATGTGATAAGAGAGAGATGATGTGATAAGAGAGAGATGATGTGATAAGAGAGAGATGATGTGATAAGAGAGAGATGATGTGATAAGAGAGAGATGCTGTGATAAGAGAGAGATGATGTGATAAGAGAGAGATGATGTGATAAGAGAGAGATGATGTGATAAGAGAGAGATGATGTGATAAGAGAGAGATGATGTGATAAGAGAGAGATGCTGTGATAAGAGAGAGATGCTGTGATAAGAGAGAGATGATGTGATAAGAGAGAGATGATGTGATAAGAGAGAGATGATGTGATAAGAGAGAGATGATGTGATAAGAGAGAGATGATGTGATAAGAGAGAGATGATGTGATAAGAGAGAGATGATGTGATAAGAGAGAGATGATGTGATAAGAGAGAGATGATGTGATAAGAGAGAGATGATGTGATAAGAGAGAGATGATGTGATAAGAGAGAGATGATGTGATAAGAGAGAGATGATGTGATAAGAGAGAGATGATGTGATAAGAGAGAGATGATGTGATAAGAGAGAGATGCTGTGATAAGAGAGAGATGATGTGATAAGAGAGAGATGATGTGATAAGAGAGAGATGATGTGATAAGAGAGAGATGATGTGATAAGAGAGAGATGATGTGATAAGAGAGAGATGATGTGATAAGAGAGAGATGCTGTGATAAGAGAGAGATGATGTGATAAGAGAGAGATGCTGTGATAAGAGAGAGATGATGTGATAAGAGAGAGATGATGTGATAAGAGAGATGATGTGATAAGAGAGAGATGCTGTGATAAGAGAGAGATGCTGTGATAAGAGAGAGATGATGTGATAAGAGAGAGATGATGTGATAAGAGAGAGATGATGTGATAAGAGAGAGATCATGTGATAAGAGAGAGATGCGTTGAGAATGAGCTGACTGTGTGAGGCATGCCTCAAGCAGCCCGCTACCAACCACCCGCTACCAACCACCCCACCCACAAATTACTTGAGAATGCTAGCCCAGCCAGTCAGCCACGCTACCCTGGTGTTTTCACAAGGGAGGACAACAGAGAGACGGTTGAAGAAGAACAATGCAGCTGGTGAGTCAGCAATGCATTCACCAAGAAACGCTCCTCAATGCATTCAGCAAGAAACGCTCCTCTGTTTGACCTGGCAGACGGGCAGCAACTGGCGAGCTCAGAGTAGCAGAGAGCACACCACCGTGCCCCCACCGTTCCCAGTCAACTCGTGCCCCCACCCCAGTATACCTCCCCCACTCACCTCCCCAACTCACACTTCCCCCACAATTGTATATGCGTAGTGGTAGGCACTCCCTGCAGACGGGCAGCAACTGGCGAGCTCAGCATAGCAGAGAGCAGCCAGAATTGCCATAGTGAACCGTCTACAGCACTCCCACACCCTCCAGTCCCACTCACACTTCCCCAACTCACACTTCCCAAACTCACACTCCCCCAACTCACACTTCCCCAACTCACACTTCCCCGACAATCGTGTACGCATAGTGGTAGGCAAGGCGAGCGCGGGCAGCGACTGGAGAGCTCGGCGTAGCAGAGAGCACACCCCCCCCATTCAACCCTCACCTGGTAAACCTCCCCCAGATATACCCTCCACTCACACTTCCCCGACAGTCGTGTACGCATAGTGATAGGCACTCCCAGCGGACGGGCAGCGACTGGCGAGCTCAGCATAGCAGAGAGCAGCCAAGCCCGCCGCCACGCCTGCTATAAGGAAGGAGAGGGGCAGCGCCGGTCCAGCTTTCTCCCGTGCCACTGTGCCAATGAGAACGTACACTCCCGCGCCTATGGTCGACCCCACTCCTGTTGCATGTGGGAGGTGCAAGGGAATGGCAGCCTATCAGCATGGAGAGGGGCAGCGCCGGTCCGGCCTTCTCCCGTGCCACTGTGCCAATGAGAACGTACACTCCCGCGCCTATGGTTGACCCCACTCCTGTTGCATGTGAGAGGTGCAAGGGAGTGATAAGTGTTGTAGGGGTAGAATCTGGAGCTGCCTGCTATGGGGAAGAGAGGGGCAGCGCTGCCCGGCCCTTCTCCCGTGCCACGGTGCGTTATGGTTGACCTCAGCCCCTGTGGTGAATGGGATGAGATGGGATGGGATGGCATGGGGTGGGACGGGACGGGACGGGATGGGATGGGATGGGATTAGACCAGATAGGATATGATTGGATGGGATAAAATAGGATAGGAGATGGGATCGGATCCGATGGTGTAGGATGGGGTGTGGTGTGATCAGGGTGTGACCCCGCCAGGCCGTTAGGCACCCGAGCACTCGTCTTAGAAAACGCCCGCCTGGATATCGGAACAGATCAAGCTCAGATCGGACCGAGTAGGGAAGTGGTTTGGAAGCGGAGACTTGCTCTTAGAATGGTTCAGACGGTCGGACGCGACGTAGTGGAAAGTATCGCCGGCATGCTCGTTGTCTCAGCAGATCTCCGTTTGGAAATCCGGACCGTGACGGCCTGAAGCGCACCTAGTGGGATGGAGTCAAGCGTAATTACCGGGGATGGAATAAGGCGTACCTAGCGGGATGAGCTGCCAGAACGTGAGGCACTTCGGAAGCGGCGCCGCCATGAGGTTCGTATGCGACTGAGAGTGCTTCAATCGAAACATCCCTCCCCACGAATTATGCCGGGTAAATCCCCCTCGCCTTGTAGTACCCGATCCTCCGCCATTCCCCGCTCCTCCGCGTTCCCCGCCGGATTCCTGAATCCTACGGTAGCCGGAATCGTGGATCTGCGGTTGAGATCCCCATTGGGGGGATGGATGGTGCGGATACGCGCCACCAGCGCCAGTTCGATCTGACGGTTGAGAACTCCCGAGGGGAGTCCCACCGTGATGATCTAGAAAACCTCCACGGCGATCCATGCTGACCGATGCCTGTCCGCAAAAAAGTATCGGAACGTACTCGATACAAGAATTAAGCTCCTATCGGTGCATGGACTAAGCCCATAGGAGTTACTTTACCACCATGATGCGCACAATTTGAAACAGCTTTAGATTCGGCGCGATTTCTATCAATCTAGTTGTACGGCTGGCGGTGCGTGAAGCTACACGTCGATCAGAACTGCTTATCATTTAAAACTCCCATCGTTCAACGCGGCAATCTCCTGCCAGCAGATGGGTGTGGTAAAGTAACCGACACAGTAGTAAAGCGTGCCAATATGCTAACTGCTTTTAGAAGAAGAGGCAAGTGCCAGCGCTAGCGGTTTAGGTTACACCAAACTAGGAGCTTCCCATAGTACTGGCTTGTTCCATCCGTTCAAAACGTCTAGTCCCTCTGGTCTAGTTTCCATCGAGCTTGTCAGGAGGAGGACTTCGTCGCGCGATTGACGGATGGGAAACTGAATTCGTTGTCAGAAATTTGAATGTGGCACGCGAAATTATTGTGAAGAGCCAGTCAGCAGACAGGGAGCTTCCTTGCTGGACAACTGGAGAAGCATGTGTTTCTGATTGGTGGTTATACCACATTAGTGTCGAGGAGACACCGGTAATGCCACCCAAGTCTACGTCAACGACACGAATGCATGACTCAGTGTTCCAGAGCCACCGAACCGGATTACTACAAGGAACACATGTTCTTGGCATTCACGGGAAAAAAGTATACATAATATTTAAATTTAATTGTACATGAACGCATTCAGGGGAAATAGATATATTCTCCTCTGGCCTCCATACACTCCCAATCCTGACTGCAGCTCCAACTTGTGAAGAGTTGCTGGTGGAATAGAATCTCAGGGAATCATCACAAGCAAGAAACAAGGGTGAGAAAGTAGGATTAACAAATCCTGAAACTGTTACGGAAGGTTACTGTCTGGAAACATGAAAGCCAGAGCGAGAACCAGTCTCCCTGCCTGCACACGTCAGCACGGGAACGACTGGCAAGTGCAAGCTTTCCATGTTTTGAGATGTGTCGATTTCCTAAAGCTGCAAATGTGAGGGCTTGACAAAGCCTGTAAAATGTGGGTCCCACAGTCTCCCTGCCTGCACATGACTGGGCACAGGAGGGGTGCAAGCAAACAGGCTTGACTAAGTCTTTAAGATGTGGGTCCCACAGTCTCCCTGCCTGCACATGACTGAGCACAGGAGAAGAAAATGCATGTAACGAGCTTGACCGAATCTTTAGAATGTGGGTCCCACAGTCTCCCTGCCTGTGCATGACTGAGCACAGGAGGGCGCCTTTGGTACAGCGGGATCTTCAACCCCATCCCTGCCACTGCCACCCATTGCTCCTCCCTCGCTCATGCATGCCGTGTGGCACACAGAGAGAAAGAGAGCACAAGTGATGGCAAGGACTGAGAGGGGTGCTCATATGGGAGAGGTTGCGAGCGTGGAGCATGGGAAGCTTCCAAGAACATGCCACTGGGGCCCTCTCCTAAGGAATAAATGGGCAAACAGAGGGATGGACGGACAAACGAGGGCAGACAAGGAGGGAGCCAAAGATGCGCAGAGTGGAAGGGAAGGGGAAACGACTGGGTAAAGGAAGGATCAAATACGAGCGTGGAGTAAGCAAGAAGAGCATCAAGGTTGTTCCATCGATGCGTCTTCTGATGAATGTGATGTAAGGATTGAACAGAGAGAGTGAACTGGAAGAGCGAATGGAGTGAAAGCAAGAGGAGGCAAACAGGGAGAGGCGAAAGAGTGTGGGCAAGAAGGCTAAGGATTGCAGGGAAGAGGAGAGGGGGCAGTGGGGTGGCAGTCGTGAGGTTGCGGGAGAAGGCGGAGCATCATTCCCCTCTGCCATTGATAATTGAATTCATCTGTTTGGCTATTCATTCTCACTCAGAAACGAATCGCACATGCGCTGCTGAATAAGTGCATGTACAGAATCTTGAAAGGTGCATGAGTCCAAAGGTGAACAAGACAGACGACTCAAAGTCACAGCAGGAAGGTGGGCGAATGTGCGGGCGCATGAGGCAAAAGAACACGTTCCTGCATTGACCCACTCAATAGACATCAGGAAGGACAACATGTGCATGTACCGAGAGTAAACGAACCCAAGTCCAAAGGTGAACTTTAGAGACCACTCATATGCTATGGCAGGCGGGTGGGCGAAGAAAGAGGACGGAAAGGACCGAGTTCAATAGGTGAGCCCACTGATAAACCAAAGATATTAGCCCAGGAACATGTGTTTGTCTTGAACACACCCTTAAGATTAAGGGCTAGAGGGATCAGGTGCTGGACTGATGGCCAATCACAGCACGCATCGGCTCCCATTTGCCACCACCAGCCAATCAGAGCAGAGGCAGAGACAGCGAGACTCGGGAAGCAGAGGAAGAAGCGCCTGGGAGAGTGATCAACAAGGAAATTCTTCCCGTTCTCTTCCCCCTGTGCTCCTCCCCCCTCCCTGAATCCCTCTGCCTGCTGCGTGCTGCTGAATGAACAGGAGGCAGCGAGGGCGGCCAATACATGACTCAGACATCGGAGATTTTCATCACTTCCCTCTGAGGCTCAAAGCTCCAGCTAGCTTGTGCGGCAACAGATCAGCCCGCTGTGCTTGGAGTCGACTCAACTCTTGACTTAAATCTCGACTCAAAATTCAACATTTGAGCAGGAGGGGTCAGAACTCCGGCCGGAGAGAATCAATCAGATCAGCCAGCTGAGTCTGTGGCCAGCAACCAATCAGAGCAGAGGCGGAGACAGAGAGAGTCAAGAGAGGAGGAAGGGGAGTGAGTATGAGAGAGATTGAACGAGAAAATACTTACCGTTCTCTCCCATGACCCCTGTCTTCCTACCCTGAAACCTGCTGTTTGTTGCTCCTGTCTGCTTGGACACATGGCTGCAAACATGGCCAGTGATGGTCAGAATAAGTAGCTTTCATCATTCCCCTCTGCCATTGAACAATAAATTCATCTATTTGGCTATTCATTCTCATTCATATCTCACATGCGCTTTTGAGGCGCACTGACAGTAGCGCGAGGGGAAAGGGAGACAATGAGGGGGCCGTTGGGTAAGAGGATTATAAATGACTGCATGTACAGAGTAAAAATCCGAAGGTGAACTTGAGAGAAATACTATAAGTCACAGCAGGAAGGTGGCGAATGCGCAGGGGGGCAAACGAACAAGCTCTTGCATTGACTCACTCCAGAAACATCAAGAACGAACTATTCAATGCATGTGCATGTACAGAGAGGAAACGGACCGAAACGATCCAGATTCCCAAGGTGAACTTCAGAGGCGACTCAGATGTTATGCCAGCGGGATGGGCCAAAAGAGGGAGGCAAAGGACCGAGTTCAACAGGGCGGTTGATTTTTTTTAGCCAATCACAGCACACATCGGCTTCCATTCGCCACCACCAGCCAATCAGAGCAGAGGCAGAGACAGCGAGACTCAAGAGAAGAGGAAGGAGAGCTTGGGAGAGTGATCAAACAAGGAAATTCTTCCTGTTCTCTTCCCCCTGCGCTCCGCCCCCGTCCCTGAATCCCTCTGCTTGCTGCGTGCTGCTGAATGAACAGAAGGCAGCGGGGAAGGCCCGTGCATGTCTCAGATGCTCCCCTGATCTCATCATTTTCCTCTGACGCTCATTCGCCCATCTCGTTCCAGTTTGAACAAAAAACTCCTTCCAGTTTGCTCTCCCCCCTTTTCCCGAGGATGGACGAGTTTACAGAGCGAAAAAGGACCACGTTCAACAGGTGAAGTCCCTGATATGATAAGGCATTGGTATAAGGGCAGGAGCATGTGATTATCTTAAGCGCGCCCTTCAGATTATGGGCTAGAGGGATCAGGTTGTGTGTGGATAAAGTGATAGCCAATCACAGCGCGCATGGGCTTCCATTCGCCACCACCAGCCAATCAGAGCAGAGGCAGAGACAGCGAGGCTCAAGAAAAGAGAAAGGAGAGCGTGAGAGAGAGATTGAACGAGAAAAAACTTCCCGTTCTCCCGCCCTGCGCCCCTTCCCCCCTCCCCTGAACCCCTCTGCCTGCTGCGTTCTGATGATTGGACAGGAGGCAGCGGGGAAGACCCATGCATGCTTCAGATATCACAGAAGCTTCATCATCTCCCTCTTACGACGAATGCAGCAGGAACTGCGCTAGGCTCCGTTGAGAAAAGTAGTGGAAAGACGTGGAAAGGAGCGGAAGTGATTGAACAAAGAGCTGTTCAGAGCTGAAAAAAAAGAGATGTGAGAAAAAACAGCACTCTTGCTGCTGACCTACCAAGCGCGCGAAAGAGAGTGAGGGATCAGACGAGGGTGTTGAAATCAGAGCACTCGCGGTTTGTCTGCCGCCATCAGCCAATCAATCACAGGACACCCCACCCTTACAGGTAGAGCGTACTGCTAAAGACTTCCCCCAAGGAGGGAACCGCCGGGAGGCACGAGCAAGGCGCACCGCTGAGTCAGACCTTTTACTTCACCATCACCTCCCCCTCATAGGCGAGCAAGCTTCGCTTGTCTCGGTCGCAAGGAAAGCGAGTAATGTCCCAGTGAAATAGGCCAAGCCAAGGCAATTAAATAGGTCAGGGTACGCTCTGCCTCAGAGTAGGTAGATGCCCAATAAATACATGCATCCATCCACAAACACCTTCTGATGAAGCATCCCGTATATCCAAGCTCGGTACGTAGGTACGGTGCACAAACGTGACTTAAAGGAGTCTAAAAATTGACACGTTGCATTAGATAACACGGATACACCCAAGGCATAATCACCTAGATCGGGTGAGCTGAAGGCATGGAGGCACAAACGACTTCGCAAGTCCTCCTGCGAACAGTAGAAAATTTGTTTGGTTAGGCGCAAAACACATTGAGTTGGTACTGGTTTCAGATATACGGCTACGATCGCTCGTTGCATACAAACTGATCCGTTTCTCGCTCAGCACAAGATCGCACGAGGTAGAATGCACACCGCACGACCCGCACCTGAAATGCCATGGCTCGCTCCTGAAGCAGCAGCTGAGTTGCGCCGATCAGCTGAGTTGCGCCGAGCAGCTGAATTGCGCCGAGCAGATGAGTTGCGCCGAGCAGATGAGTTGCGCCGAGCAGATGAGTGAGCAGATGAGTTGCGTCGATCAGCTGAGTTGCGCCGATCAGCTGAGTTGCGCCGAGCAGATGAGTTGCGCCGAGCAGCTGAGTTGCGCCGAGCAGCTGAGTTGCGCCGATCAGCTGAGTTGCGCCGATCAGCTGAGTTGCGCCGATCAGCTGAGTTGCGCCGATCAGCTGAGTTGCGCCGAGCAGATGAGTCGCATCCTCTTCGGTTTGCTATCCGTGAGACGCCTTGAGCCTGCGGAGCAGCTGACCGACCCCCTGGGGGCTCTTCTCTTGAAACGCCTTGAAGTTGCCGAGCTGCTGAAGTGTCTCCGTCAGCTCCGATCTGCCACGTGGCTAGTCGTCGCATCAACCGTACAACTATTTACGACCGTGCGGAGTGCGGAGTGCGTCGTGCGACACATTTTCGCAGAATGCGCGACGCGGAACGGAATCGATTGTTAATCGCAACGTGGCTCCCACGTGTTCCGGTTCAACCTAGTCATTCCCTGAAAGGTCAAAGATTCCAACTGAGATTCCAGTGGCATTGATTTTTTTTAGGCAGATCTGCGATGATGCAGAGTTCAGAAAAGGTAATTTAAGAAAGCTTACGACGGCAATGCGGCTGCACGAAGCCCCCAGGTGCTGTGGGCGTACGATGGTCAGCGATGTGTTCTTAGCAGGCCAAGGAAGAACTATAAAGACTTCAGCATAGGAGTTCTTGCTTTATTGTTGCTGGCCTAAATTGCTGTTGACAATCTCGGGAAGTGAGATCTGATGTTCGCTAGGGTCAACATCAATGCTTGCGTTCCTAGAACGATTGATTGAGTAATGAGAATGGTCGGGTAGGTTTTAGAACGATGATGTACCTTTTTTACATGCGTTGCATCATTGAGGCATGATGGGAAAGGAGAACCTTGATGTTGGTTGGTTGCTGCTTGGAATGGGGTGGCATGATGGGAGCTCGGGAGGGTTTTGCAAAGAGTAGACAAAGATGAGTGGAAGTTAGGGCGTGTAAAGTTGTAGCGACCAAGGCAATGGTCGAACATTTGCGCGTTACACATTTCGCACTCGCCTGAAACGCACAAATGATCGATCATTTGGTTTGGGCGTTACAATTTTACACGCCCTTAATTGTATTGAGTTACAGAGCGGCTGTTGCTGTTGGTTCACCATCATGTTCACGACCGAACATCCCAGCGCAATTCGATCGTCGGAACCGATTTGCCAGTGTCGTCAGAGGGGGTCGTCCGAGACGGGCCTGACGAGGCGGGCAACTGACGCGCGTGCGGGCCCGCCAGCCTGGCCCAGGGCCGGGCCGAGTGCACGACCGCCGCCACGCAAACCCCCTGCGTGATTGAATAGCGCCCCACGTTACCGGGTGGGGGCGGCGAGCTGGCGAGCCCTCGCGCGAGGGTTACTTTCCCTCGCGCGAAGGCAGCCCTCCCGTGCCTGCTGCCCGCGACGTCCTAGTGACCCTCGCGACCTGCATGGACGGGCAAGCGAGGGCCATGCGAAATTCGGGTGCTCCCTTAAGGACGCTCGACAATTTCGCGACCCGTTGCGGTGACGCCACGTGCTCGCACGCGGGTTCGCATCGGGTGCATGCGAAATTTCGAACCCGGCGAAATTGGATTGCTCGCATCGCGGCGCAGGGTTTTCACGATCCGCTGCGAAATCGGCACGTGTCGGCCGAAACGTCGCACCGCGCGCATGCAAAATTGCGACCCCTCGCCGAGCGAAGCCAGGGGACGCGAAGTCGACGTGCTGGCTTGGCGGCGAAGGAGCACTTGTGCCACTTGTGAATGCAGCCCGCCAAACCCTGCCGAGCCAGGTACCACGAACCCTGGGCGATGCCTCAACCGGCCTGTGGGGCACCGACTCCCTTTCCTTGGTGGAAGGAGGCATCGCTCCTCATTTTCGGCATCTCGTTTCTTTTTCAACATTACTCCCACATTCTCGTCCCTTAGCCTGTAGTCAATTCCATTCACCGCCATGGAGGCCGACCTGAAAGCCGGCGAAGCGGCGCCGACCGTGCAGGACTTCCCTCTGTATCTCGACCTCGGTAGTGGACTCACTGCGAAGCTCGAGGAACACGACTACGCCGTCCTCGTAGACCATAGGCTAGAGTTTAACGCCCGTTGCTTGGGATTCGGCCTCAAGTGAGTCTCCGTATGGGGATGTCGGCGTCGACCTCTGTATACCTTGCTAGTCGACGCAGCGTCGGTGTTAGGGTTGTCCCACGTCTAGGGCGGCGCTACGAGTTCACGTCGACGCCGACTTTAGGATTCTGGGTTATCTACCGTAGGTCGGTGTCGGCACAGGGTTTAGGCCCGCATCGGTTGGCTCCATTGATTACAACGTCGCAAGGGTGGTGCACCGTCGTACTATTGCCACCCCCGTCAGTTGGCGGTTCCTAAACCAACGTATCCACCGCCGTGTCGTGCACATCCTCACTCACTTCTAATACCCATGCATGCGTGCAGGCACGCATGGACTCGCGCGGCGCCGACCAACATGCGATTGTGGTCGATGGGACTCGGCCGGCTTCGGGCGGCGATGGGTCGGGCGGACCACATATGCTTTGCGACGGTTTTCGACGCCGACGTAGCGGTTATCCCCCTGACTTCGAGGTGAGCTGGTTCGAAGTCGTCATGATGTGTGTTGCAACCTATGTCGGTGCTCTGTTCTGAACGACGTCGTCGTGCCTTGCCTGTGCAGCATCGCACCGCTTCCAGGAGCACATTGCATCATCGTTGTCATCCTCTACCCCGACGACTTGTTGAAGGCGGGGGGGGGGGAGAAGATCAGGACCTCGATCCGGCACGTTGACCCGCAGACTGTGAAGCAGTGGCACCGTGACGAGGCGATCCGCGTGCTGAAGTGAGCCCGATAGTGTAGTCGACGACGCATGCAATTTCGCCGCGCAGCGTAAACCATGCTTACTGACAATCTGTGCCGTGTTGCTTCAGGTTTTTCCGGGCAGCGGTCCTAGCCGAGCTTGGGCGCGATGGTAGGAAGTGGGAGTGGGCAAAGCCTTCTGATGAAGAGGTGGAGGACAGGCTCACCAACTACGATCAACCCGTTCGAGATGTGAGTTCCGAACGATTTACCGTCCTCATCCTTGCGCGATGCGATTGCCGTACGCGGTGCTCATCCTTGCGCTCTGAACTGTTGTATGCAGAAAGTGCCCGACGCCGTTCGGGACGGGGACGCGGGCTCCGGCCTGCTAGCAATGAGCGCGTTGTGCTGGGTGGTGAGGAGGATGGATCTCCTGACCGGCGCCCTCCGTCGCAGTGTGACAAGCATGGACAAGGTCAACGTTTCGAGGTTGAAGGGGCTGCGGAATGGGATGATAACATTCGTCAAGGAGCACGTCGCTCTCAAACGGCCGGGCCATGTCGGAGTTGCTGCCGACGCCTGTGACGACGACGGCGAGGAGACCCCTTTGGCATCCCAAGCAGTAGGTGTCGCCTACACCGTTGATGATGCGCGTGGGACTTCGATCGGAGAGCCCGGAGGCGGCGTCGACAAGGAAGATGAGGAGGCGAGAAGGGCGGTGACTGGGACTGCGGAGAAGCACCAGGACGAGGACATAAATCAGGATGATAACGAGGATCAAGAAGAGGACCATGAGGATCGTGAGGAGGAGGAGGAGGAGGAGGTGGAGGAGGCAGAGAAGCAGCAAGAGGGGGAGCAAGAGGAAAAGGTCGAGTGGGAGTTGGAGGAAATGGAGGTGGAGTACGTAGAGGGAGCGGCGGAAACGGGTGGGAGGTCGGCGGATGTTGTGAACGAGAGAGGGGAGGATGCCAACGAGGAGAAAGGCGGCATGGAGGTGGCTCACGGGGGGAGTGAGAAGGTCGTGGTCGGCGATGTGGTTGGCGACGCGAAGGAAGTTATCGACCTCAAGGCCGTTGGAGAAGGGGACAACGCCGCGGCCACGAAGCAGACGGGCGTGGAAGGGCCTACCGAGACCACCGCAGGGAAGGCCGGGGGGGAGCGGTCTAGGAAGAAGAAGGCGGCGCGCGGTCATCCCGATTCCTCCGCATCTGGTCGGCAGGCACCGCTGGACGTCGTTGAGCAGCTGCGACAGGAGAACAGGCGATTGACGGCAGAAAATGCCCGTCTGGAGAAGGTGCACGGAGAGGAAAGGGGTCGGGTGGACAGGTTTGCGTTGGGGATAAACAGACTCCTCGACAAGCTCCAATCGTTGGCCGACCAGGTCGCCGTCTCCGACCATAATGCGGCGAAACGACTGCTAGATGCGACGTGGGCCGTGTCGACAACCATCACGGACAACATCACCAACCACATGGACGAATCGTGGAAGGCGATGAAGTCCTTCGCCGAAAAGGCGTCGACGTGGTTGGCGGAAATCGACGGTCCGGAGGGAAGTATGGCAGTTGAACGCGCAAAAGCGGTCACCGCCTTGGCCAACCACATAGAAGCAGTGGTGGACGATGCGAAGTTGGGTTTGGAGGACTACATCTCAAAGCACCTAGTCGCCGCGCAGACCAACATTGCCGCCGCGGTAACTCGCAACATCGCCGTGCCGCCGCCGCCCCCGCCGCCCCCGCCGCAGCCCACGCCAGCCTTCCCGGACGAGCTCATGAAGTCGTTCAAGGCAAACGTGTTGAAGGTGGTGACGGAGGCCACCCAACAGTCGTTTGTTACGTCCAGGTTAAAGCTCATGACCGAGGTGATCGGCAATGTGGCGCCTGGTCGGCGTGGGTCGTCGCCGTCGGCCAATGACGCCGATCCCGCGCAACGAAGGGAGGCCGACAAGCAGGGTCGGAAAAGGGCGGGCGGCGGAGATGATGCGGGGAGCGTGAAGCGGAGAAAGGGAGCCGATGGGAGCCGCGGCGTCGGCGCGGTGGGTCCAGGCGACTCGCGGACTCGAGGTCAGAGCGTGGTCGACCAGCTCAAGAAGAACGGGGCCAAGGTGATAAGGTCGCACAGCAAGGGCGATGGAATCGGGAGTGTAGATGGGGGCCATGCCGACGAGGTTGCCGCTCAAGACGCTGGACCAACAGCCTCGCCCCTGGTCGCCGAGAAGCCCCATGGTCTGGCGAGCGGCGGGAAAGGCTTGAGCGACAAGGAGATCCCAACCGCTCAAACGGCGATAGATGGCGGCGCTAGAACCGTCAAGGGACCGTCTGTCGGGGTGGCGGGGACCACGTCGATTCCCCGAAAACCCCCTGCGGCTAGCAGCGCGCCGGTCGGCCCGTCAGCCGCCAACAACGATGGGCCGGCCCTTGCGGCTACTCCAGCTCCAGCAGGCCCGTCTGCCGCCAAGGGCGACGCGAAGGATGCTGCGGCTAACCCCGACGGTCCGTCCGCCACTAAGGTGCCCACAGCGGCGAACGCGCTCAGGGAAATGCTCCACCGCATGGAGGCCTATCGCAAGGACGTGCAGCAGCCTCCCTTGGTCGATGCCGCCCCCGCCGAAACAGCACGTCGCTCGGTCACTCCGCAGGTCGCCGCCACAACGCCCAGTGCCCCACATACCGCGCCTCTGGTCGCCGCGCGTCCTTCTGCGGACCCAAAGTCCGCATTGCTTTGCGCCCGGCTAGGCGCACGTAGTGCGGCAGTGCCAATACGGACTCAGCCGGAAGCCGACTCAAGCGCGTCGCCGACGTCGGTAAACGTGGCGGCGGAGAAGGGCGTGAGGGCAGCGCTAGCCACCGGCGGCGGAGCCATTGACCCTGCACAGGCATCAAAAGGCCACAACGATGCCGACATCGATGCCATCCAGAACCTGTTGGAAGCGGTAAAACGCCCCGGGCACCCCCCTGCTCTGGCCATCTCGGACACGGCGCATGTGGAGCCTTCGGCGAGTCCCCCCAGTGCTTCAGCGGAGCCAAAGACGACCACTGATGCTGTCGGCAAGGGAGAGTCGAAACGGAAGGGGAAGGACGATACAGGGAAAGGGAGGGCGAGCTCTCAGAGGAAAACACGGGCGATGTCGGCGACGAAGGAGATGTCGGCCGAGATAAGGAGGGAGAAGGCGAAGGAGAAGGTGGAGGAGAAGTCGGTCGGCGAGGGTTCGTCGGCAAAGAAAGGGAAGGAGAAGGCGGCGGAGAAGGAGAAGGAGAAGGCGGCGGAGAAGGAGAAGGAGAAGGAGAAGGAGAAGGAGAAGGAGAAGGAGAAGGAGAAGGAGAAGGAGAAGGAGAAGGAGAAGGAGAAGGAGAAGGAGAAGGAGAAGAAGGAGAAGGAGAAGGAGAAGGAGAAGGAGGAGAAGAAGGAGAAGGAGAAGGAGAAGGAGAAAGAGAAAGGACAGAAGGGTCATGGCATCCGCCACGACAACTCGGGCAACGGTCTAGGGTGGGTGGGCGAGATTAAGGTGCTCGGCGCTAATCGATACATCGGCAAGTCGCGCGACAAGATGGAGCTGGCATACCTGCACTCGATTGCGTACATCGTCTACGACGGTTACGTCAGCAAGGTCCTCGTGGTCGAGCTCACCGGCTCGGAGGAAACCGAGTTGGAGAAGTGGAGGAAGGTGTGGGAGGAGGTCAAGATTTTGCCGACAGGGATGTGGACAGTGATATGGGCACGGGGCACGTACCTTCCAAAAACACGGTAAGTCGGATAACCTTCGGCCGAGTGTTGATAACGATGTCGGGGTCACTAATGGTCGCCCGGTTTCATGTGATTGCGTGACAGGTTCGATGACAATCTCGGCAAGTATCAAGCGTACAAGAACTTAGGCGATGCGCACCACGACGCGCTCTTGCCGGCGATCTGGTTCCCCGTCGATGCCGTCACAAAGGAAGGCAAGGAGAAGTCGGATGCTATGATGTCGGCCATGATAGGTCGCATGTCCATGTGCGCTGCGTATGGGAAGGTCGCTGCAAGCGCGGTGAGGAAGGAGGGAGACACTGATGAGAAGACGACGATGGCGGCACAAGCGTTATCGGCCTCTGCTTGCGCCGTGTGGTGCTTAGTCGAGAACGAGGACGCCCAGGTGGTCGATGCTGTGGGCGAAGGGAAGGCTGCAGCGATGGTGGTCGGTGCGAGCGAGAAGACCGCCAGTGTCTTCAAGGAGGTCATGCAGGCGGTGCTAGAGGCCGAGATCGACAGGGAGCAACCCCTCGGGGAGGTTGCGCACAACGTCGCGCCGGTGCTGCAGAGTCTCGCTCTGCATCGGGTCTACCCGGGGGTGGATCATGAAGTCGAAGCCGACGTGATCGCTAGAGCGACGGTGGAGAACTTGGCGTTCTGGGGAATGTGCCCCGTCGCCGGGCCGAAACTCGAAGAGATCGGCATCGCGGTGCCGTGTGACGTGCAGATGGAGTACGATATTGAACACAGGGGGAGGAAGGGGCAGAGGGGCAAGCAGGGCAAGGATAGCACAGGGAAGAAGGGGAAGAAGGGCAGGAAGGGCAAGGACAGCACGGCGGCGTAGTCGGCGCGCAGAGGGAGCGCTAGGTGGTCTGATTGCTAGGGTGTAGAACAGTTTGGTCTGGCCGGCGCCGATTGCGTAGTTCTTTTGTTGGGTCCTTTTTTTGTAGTGCTTGTAAGTTTTTGTTTGTGTTTGCTTATGTGGTAGTGCATGTAACTTTTTGGTAGTGCATGAAACTAGAACCCTCGTCGGCGATGTCGACCTGATCGCTACCCTCTGAATTGCACACTCACATGCTACTCAGGGATGAACCTTGTCGGCGTATATGTCGGAGTCTGACAATACGTCGGCGTCGTTTGGTGTTTGTCAACATAGAGGGTTTGGCTGTCTGCAAGTATATTCGGGTTGTTTGTTGGTCGTCTACCGACTGCAGTTACCATTGTTGGATCATCTAGGTTTGCATGGGCCCTGTTCTGTGCCTTAGGTTCGTCTTGTTTACTAACTTCCTGAACAATATAAGCATCATGGTTTGGTAAAATCGACCACAATTACAACATCATCAAACTTCGCACACGCATATGCTCCAAAGGTATTCATGCCGCTTCTTGCGCTTCGTCGGAGGACGCAGCACAGGTGCGGTCTGCTTGGCCATGTCGGCCATGGTCTTCGGCATCTGCTCCTCCCAGGTGTCTGAAAACAGGACAGCGACCCAAGCGCTCGGCTTCAAGTTGACCGCCACCAGCGCACAGGCGAGACGAAGCTTCGAGACCGACTTGGGGCCCAGCCCCTTGACGCCCATGCCAGGCTCCTTGGACTTCGTTGGTGCGGTTCCCGGTTTGAGCACCATGAGGGCATCACAGAAGGTCCCGAAGCCCGGCGCCGCGATCTTGTTCAGGGCAGCGACGACGGCTTCGGTGTCGGCATTGCCGTCGCTCGAGCAAAGAAGGCGCACTGCATCCATGGCCTTCAGCATGCGGCGCACCTTCATGACGTGTGCACCCTGCGTCGCGCCTTTGAGGAGGGTGTGGCAGTCGACGAATCCCAGCTTGAGAAGAAACGAGGAATGAGAATGACTAAGGGAAAGTTGGGTACAAATGTAAACCCTAGAAAACTGTACCCCATATGTGCTACCCCACTATAGCCTACAGTAGCTATGTCATATAAATCTGACACACCCCCATAGGCAAAGTGGGGGAGAACAAGGGGTCACAAGACCAGTCAAGCAAAGCAAAGCAAGCTCAGGGTGGATCACAAAGTCACCACACATTCCGAGCACAAGGTCAAGGCCACAAGGCCAGTTCACATGCAGGATTACATATATATATAAGGCTAGACAAGCAAGAGCAGGTGTATATATATATGCAACAGTACAAACAAGGTCAAGGGGTGAGCAAGTGAGGCAAGGTAGGTACAAGACCCAGCTGAGTACAGAAGCGCTGATGATCACAAGGCGCAAGTGCCTTGGTGAAGATATCAGCAGTGTTGGCCTGAGAGGCCACGTACGCAAGCCGCAGCTGACCACGCTGCTGTAGCTCACGAGCAAGGAAGTAGCGGAGAGCAATGTGCTTCGTTCTGTGCTCCAGTCTCTGCTCTCGACACAAGGCCAGCATGGCCTTGTTGTCTACGTACAGCACTGGAGGAGAACGAGGCGGCTCTCCGAGGTCAGTCAGCAGGTAGGTGAGCCAGCGAAGCTCCTGTGCAGCCATGGCCCCGGCGTAGATCTCAGCCTCACAACTGGAGCCGAGAACAGAAGACGAGCGGGTAGCCCGCCACGAAACAGAGCCGGAACCAAGGCTGAAGGTGTAACCCTGTGACGACCGCTGCGTAGCCTGGTCGTCAGCCCAAGAAGCGTCTGCGTGCCCAGTGAGGACCACTGGACTCTGCCCTCCAAGCACAAGCCCCATGCCCGACGTACTGCACAAGTAACGCAACACCCTCTTCGCTGCAGCCATGTGCTCCGGTCTGTGTCTCCCAGGAGCAACATAGCGTGCGAGAATGCTAAGAGGGTATGCGAGGTCGGTGGGAGAGAAGGTCTGAAAGTAGTCAACTCCCTGCCGCTGACTGAAGCCACGAGCCACGTAACGCGCCTTGAAGACAGGCGGAGAACCCGGCGGTCGCTTCACCCTGAAAACCCACATGCCACTGACGATGTTCGCCCCAGGCAGGGGAACCTCGTCAACGTAGGTGCCTGTGGACTTCTAGGAAGCCATCTCTGTGTCCATAGCTGCCTGCCACTGAGAGGAGTAGGGACCCTCTATCGCCTCCGCGTAAGAGCGCGGAGTCGGGATGTCAAGTGCATCCGGGTCTCCCTCAGGGGTAAGCAGTACGGACACGAGATGAGGTGAAGCAGCAGCCAAACACTGGAACTCCTCCTGCCTGTCCTCAAGGACGTCCGTGCCAAGGGCACACTCACCCCCGACGGACGGAGGACAGACAGACTCAGACTCAACGACAAGACTAGCAGCGTAGTCTAGACGACAGCGAGCAGCAAAGTCGACGAGCTCAGCAACTAGGGCAGACGCAGCAGTGGACTCAAAGGAAGGGTCAGTGACGACAGTAGCAAGGAGACGCGTGACAGGAGGACTGGCAGCACGAAGAGAGTCCGACTCCGGGTCGGGAAGAGCAGGAAGAGAGGACTCAGGAGGAGAAGGCAAAGGGGCACGCAGAGGAGCAGTGGACGGACGCAGAGACATCCGGTGCGTGCCAGGGATAGGAGGAGGACGCTGACGCGAACCACGGCCGGCGACGCAGGGCGAGACGCAGGCTCACGACGCTCAGCCAGACCTCCAGTAGGACCAGTGTAGGGAGAAGGAGCGGGCAGTGTAGAGGCCGGCTGTAACTGTAACTGGGACGGGACAGGCTGTGGACACTCTAAGGGAGGAGGAGGACCAGTAGAAGGCGGGAGACCAAGAACCTGCTGAAGGAGCGGAACGAAGTACGGCCGAGGCCGCGCGGCGACTCCAGACACAGCAGGGACAGCACCAGTACCCCCAGCGGCAGCACCAGCGCCAGCAGCACCTCCAGCTCCAGTACCTCCAGCAGCACCAGTAGCACCCCCAGCAGGACCGCCTCCAGGACCGACAGCAGGAGCCTCAGCGCCAACACCCTCAGCAGCTCCAGCTCCAGGCGTACCCGCAGGCCCAGCAGCTCCAGTACTCCCAGTACGAGCACCTCCGGGACCCGCGGCACCAGCACCCTCAGCAGTCGAAGAACCTCCAGCTCCAGCAGCACGCCTCCAGCGCCGGGCAAACCACTCTCGCAGCTCCTGTGGAGAGAGTGGCTCCCGCCTAGACGAAGCACCCGGAGAACCTCCAGGCTCAGCACCGCCAGACGCCACACGAGCAGGCCCAGCTCCCTCAGGCTCCGCACCCCCAGGCTCAGCACCTCCAGGCTCAGCACCCCCAGGCTCAGCACCCCCAGGCGTAGCACCCCCAGGCTCAGCACCCCCAGGCTCAGCACCCCCAGTAGTAGAACCCCCAGGCTCAGCACCCCCAGGCTCAGCACCCCCAGTAGTAGCACCCTCAGGCTCAGCACCCACACGCTCAGCACCCCCAGAGTCAGCACCCCCAGGCTCAGCACCCTCAGCAGCACCAGAGTCACCAGTAACCTCGACAGGCTCGACTGCGTCTACCTGGGACACACCTGAAGGGGCAGGACCCTGAGGGGGGAGGGGGTCTACCGGGGGGGGACCTGGCACAAGGAAGAGCGGTGGCGGGGGGAGGGACGGAGTGCGGTAGGGGAAGAGGCGGTAGTAGGGGACCGACTCGTCAAACGTGACGTCCTGGGAGGACAGAACACGGCGAGAGGTGGGGTGGTAGAACTGCCACCCTGGCGCGTCAGGGGGGAAGCCAAGGAAGACGCAAGGAGCAGCACGAGGGGACAGCTTGTCCGCCGACAAGTCGCGGACAAACGCCCGAGATCCCCAGACACGGAACGCAGACGCATCGCCAACCTTCCCCGTCCACAGCAAAGCTGGGGAGGTCTCCGGCATGGAGACCCTGGGGTGAAGGTTGATCTGATGCGCCGCGTACCGAACCGCAAACGGCCACAGAAAATGGGGGGCAGCCGCATGCATCATGGACGTACGGGCGACGTCCATGACCATGCCAATGCGGCGCTCAGCAATCCCATTTTGCTGTGGAGAGTCCGGAAGCGTGAAGGTCTGGCGGATGCCTCGTGCACGACAGTAGGCTCGCAGAAGGCCAGAGGAGAACTCTCCACCTCTGTCAGAGTGCAGACGCAGAACAGGAAAGTCCGAGCCGAAGCTCTGCCTGAGTTGGAGACGAGCTGCGCGGATCCAGTCGATCAACACCTCAGTGACATCACCCTTGCTGCGCAAGGGGAAGACCGTGGTGTAACGCGAGTAGTCGTCAACCACCAGCAGGAAGTAGCGCTCGTGACCCTGTCCACGGACGCGGGCCGGGCCCCACACGTCCATGTGAAGCGTCTGCAGCGGGGCCTCTGTCGGAGGAAACTGGGAGGAGTGAGGGGCAGCCCGCTGCCGCCCCTCGACACAAGGGACGCAGGTAGGGCCGGGCCCCGGAGGAAGGGGAGGGAGGGACCGGGGAAGACCAGAGACAAGGGCACGGGAGGCCATGCCTCGGAGACGAAGCAGGGAGGGGTGACCAAGGCGGTGGTGCTAGAGGAGAGTCTCGTGCGACAGGAGACGACACGAACAGGGGGCAGACTCAGGACCAGACCTGGACGCTGCAGCAAACACCTGACCCGACGCAGCTACCTGACCAGACGCAGTGACTGGAGGAGACGCAGTGGTCAGTGTGTACAGGCTCGACCCCGGCCGACGTGTAAACGTGGCCAGGTGTCGGCCTGTCCGAGCGTCCGTGCAGTGGGTCACCCGCTGACTCGCAGGAGTGAACTGGTGAACCCCCGCATCCTATAGGTCAGCACCACTCACCAAGTTCGTAGAGAATGAGGGGAGGTAAAGACCAGACAGGGTGCTAGAGGGGGCCGCCGGACACGGGAGGACAGTGGAGAAGTGAGCAAGGACAGGACCCCCAGAGGGGTCTGCCAGAGAGACTGCAACTGGCCGGCCAAGCGGCGTGAGTGTGGTGCGGTCTCGAAAGAAGGAGCGAGAAGCCCCCGAGTCAAGGGTGAAGGTGTGGGAGGCCGAAGCCGACGCAGTACCTGAGAGAGCAGACTCACCAGCACCTGAGTGAGCAGACGCACGAGCACCTAGAGCAGCAGCCTCGCTAGCACCTAGAGCAGCAGCCTCACCAGTACCTAGAGCAGCAGTCTCAATGCCCGGGTCGGGCGGAAAACACCGGTAACAGTCACCCTCATCACTAATAGTCACAGCATACATGACAGCAAGAATAGCATCAAAGTCAAGGTCAAAGACAGCTACACCCGCCCTAGACAGCTCGCCCCAGCGGGGGATCTCAGTGGCCTCAGGGAACTGGTGACACCAAGCGTCCGTCAGGCGGCCAAAGCAGCGCTGGGTGGAGTGCGCACCCCCGCACTGCTCACCCGCGCGGTCGCCGGTGCGTAGGACGTAGGTGCACGGACCAGTACCCCCACCCCGCTGGCGTGCAGCGTACCACTCACGGAGCTGCTGAGGGGGGGGGATGTCACGAGTGCGCTGCTGCCGCTGCTGCTGCTGCTGCTGGCGCTGACCACCACCGGAGCCGACCCTCTGCCCAGCGCCACCCCGACCAGCTCCACCTCCTCCGCCGCCGCCTCCGCCACCGCCTCCACCTCCGCCACCTCCGCTCCCACCGCCACCGCCGCCGCCGCCTCCGCCTCCACTGCAGCCACCGACACCTCCACCCCCGCCACCACTCCCACCACCACCCCCACCCCCTCCACTGCCGCCACCGCCACCTCCGCCACCCCCGCCAGCCCCTCTAGCACCCTTGCCCCCCTTGCCCTTGCCGGTGCGGCGTCTCCCGCTCGGGGCAGACGCAGCGCCGACCGACTCGAGACCAACGAGGTCGGCCGCAGCAGCAGAGGCAACAGAGGGCAAAAGGGGGGAGGGGGAACACCCCTCAAAGACGGGGGTGCGAGGGTCACCACGAGAGGCTCGTACAGCGACTATGCTCTTCTCTGCTGCTAGGAGGGCCTTCTCGAGGAGGTCAACGGTGAGAGTGGTGGGGCAAACTGAGAGGAAGTGGTCCCTGACTACGCGAAGGGAGTCAGGTAGCCGGGTGACTATGTAGTAGAGGGTGATGTACATGGGGGGGGGGTTCTTGGCGCAGAACTCAGCAGGAAGCGCAGCGCGGTAGCGAGTGTCACTAGTGCGGAGGTGCGTAATGAGGTCAGCGACTGTGGGAAAGGCAGCAAGGTCAGGGAAGAGGTACGGTAGCATGAGGCGGCTCAGTGCAGCAGTGGCAGGGGAGGAGTAGCGCGCAACTACAGCGTCGTACAAGGTGTGAGCACTCTTGTACTGGCTAAAGTGCGCACGCTCAGAGGTAGGCAGGTGGCGACGCACAGCTAGACGTGCAGCAGCATCGCGTGTGGCCCACTGTGAGCGAACAGTGGCGTCGGCATCAGCAGCAGGGGCAGGAGAGGCACCAGAGGTGAGGTCAAAGAGGGAGAGACCGTCTGCCCTATCGCACTGTAAGAAAAGCTGCAGGTCATCTACCCAGACGTCAAAGTCAATGGCCCGACCCTCAGCGTCAAAGGCGAGGACACTAGGGGTAGCCATGACAGCAGTAGACTAGCAGTGCGAACAGTAGGGTAAGGGCAGTGCAGTGATAGAGGCGCTGCTCTTACCGGACAGGGCGGCTCGGGCGGCTCGGCGGCTCGGCGGCTCGGCAGGACGGCGGGTCGGCGACACGGCGGCTCGGGCGGCTCGGCGGCTCGGGCGGCTCGGGCGACTCGGCGGCTCGGGCGGCTCGGCAACTCGGCGGCCCGGGCGGTTCGGCGGTCGGCTGCTGGGCGGCTCGGCGGCTCGGCTGCAGGACGGCTCGGCGGCTCGGGTGCGCGGCTGCTGGGCGGCTCGGCGGCTGGTGTGGTTGGTGACGACCGCGGCAGTAGTCGCAGAAGCTGTGGCGACTGCTGCTGCAGAGACGGCTGCGGCTGCTGCCTCAGGGACGGCGGCTGCCGGCCGCTAGGGGCCGCGAAGAGCGGCGGAGAGGCCGTGAAGGGCGCCACGAGGGGCCGTCGAGGGCGGCGACAGGCCGTGAGGAGGCCGCGGAAGGCGGCTCGAGGGGCCGCGAGGGGGCCGTAAGGGGCCGACTGGCGACGGGAGGGGCCGAAGGGGCCGCGGGAGGGCCCGTAAGGGTAGCGCGAGGGGCCGTAAGGGCGGCACGAGGGGCCGTACGGGCGGTACGAGGGGCCGTGAGGGCGGCGCGACGGGCGCGACGGGCCGTAAGGGCGGCGCGACGGGCCGTAAGGGCGGCACGAGGGGCCGTGAGGGCGGCGCGACGGGCGCGACGGGCCGTAAGGGCGGCGCGACGGGCCGTAAGGGCGGCGCGACGAGCCGTAAGGGCGGCGCTAGGGAGCCGTGAGAGGGCCGCTAAGGGCGACGCGACGGGGCCGTGAGGGGCCTAGCGAGGGCGCGACGGTAGGGAGAGCACACAGGGCGCGACTCGGGCCGGAGCGAAGCGCGCTCCGGGCAGGAAAAAAAAAATTCGTGGTGGTGGGCCCTAGGAATCGTTCCCACTAGGGAACCTGCTCGATACCATGAGAAGAAACGAGGAATGAGAATGACTAAGGGAAAGTTGGGTACAAATGTAAACCCTAGAAAACTGTACCCCATATGTGCTACCCCACTATAGCCTACAGTAGCTATGTCATATAAATCTGACACAGCTCGGTGACCCTGTCGCAAAGACGACGGGTGTCATCGGCGGTGGCGGAGTTCTAGAGGCACCAAGCGTCCCTCACGGTCTTTGCCTCCCGCCAAGGTTGCACCACGTTGAGCTCGTAACGAGCCTCGTCGAGCATCTGTGGGGGTTTCGGGGGTTTCTCATCCCGTTTTTTGGCTCCGGCCCCCGTACTGGCCGAATCCGCGAAGCCACTCTCGCTCGGCGCTTGCTCATTCCCCGACGGCGGCGCCGCCGGCATCCTCCGTGCGTCTGACACACGGAGTGCCTCGGTGAGACGGGTTATCTCGGCGGTCAGCGTCGCGATGGTATCGTTGCGCTTCTCGATCTCCTCCTGAAGGTCAATCTTCTCGACCACAGAGCGCTCCCTCTCGTACTTTAGCGTCTCCTTGAGGGACATGTTATGGTATTCGGTGTCCAAGCGGACGGAGATTTCCTGCAGCACAAGGCGGAAAGGCGAAAATAGTTTAGAATACACCCGTAACAGATCGACGCCGACTTTAGCGACGATTTACCTCTGGCTGAATGAGGGTTGGGTCCCGGCGTTTGTTGATCGTTTCGGTGTCGATCTTCTCGACCCTTTTCGCCCAGTGCTGAAAGAGGGCAATCCGGCAGATCTTGGAACCTTGGACGTACGGGTGCTAAGGGATGCGGACGAGCTTCACCGCGAGGTCCTCGGCGACGATGCGGCGCATCATCTGGAGGGTACGCCAGAAGTGCACGATGGCTTTGTCGGTGTCGCTCCCTTTGGCAGCACGCGTTTCCGCCTGCACGTCGGCAAGTGATGTGGGTTAGTAAGGTGTTGGGCAGCCAACGAAGCTATGGCAACGTAAGGACATTGTCGGCGTCGACTAACATACATCGCGCAGCAGAGCATCCACGCCGGGGAAGATGTGCTCGGCGATGATGTCCAAGAGTTTGTCGGAGGGCTCGACCCTGCTGCGACCCAAGAAGTAGTCTTGTTTGCAACCTGAGTAGCCGGCCTTCTTCATCACCACCCAAATGGGAATGGCTGTGATGTAAGCACGCGTCATCTTGTCGAGTGCCCAGTGACCCATCTCGGCGATCTCGGCTCTAGGCGTCCCTTCAATGGCTAGCTCTTGCGCACCTCCGGCACGAGCGGTGTGCACATTCCGCTTGCAGAACACCTTGTTGGTCGTCCACATTTGCCGTGTCCAACGTTCGTGGCTGGCGGCGGAGAGCTCTTTTTGCTCCTTGTCGTTGCGGGCGAAGAAGAGGTGCTTCTTGTACCAACGCCCGCGTTCGGTGGTGTCAAGCGGCGGGAGGAAGTCGACGCCGTTGAACTGACCGACCTGGTCGAGGATGAAGTGCAACCACAGGCCGGTCTCGCCGACGGTGCACAACTCCGCTTCCTGGTGTCGCGCCGCGTAGCTCTGCTGAAGACGGGCATCCTTAGAAGTCTTCGAGTTCCGCGCGGCGATCACCATGACGACCGGCTGGTTCTCCGGGTTCACCGACGAGGTGCTAGCCAGTCGGTACAAGAAGATGTCGGGGAGCGTGATCTCGCGGATGCTGGCGCCTCGCAGGAGAGTGTGGTGGGAGAGTAGCATGAGCGCCTTGGTGAGCAAAAATGGCCACAGCGTCTGCGAAGGAGCGGTTGCCCACGGGTTCCACGCCGACGCCGCCCATGTCGGCAGCACCTTCATCATGATCTGGCGGAGCTGTTCGGCGGTGTAGGTATCGCCGATGGTGCCGCGACGCCGGTCGGCACAATTTCTGCCCACAAAGCCACAGAGTATTTTAAGTTTGACGGCGTCGACTTCAGAGTGACGTGCCAGAGGTTGGCGGTGTCGACAAACTAACTTGACGTCCCTCTTGTTCTTGGTGCAGACCATGAACCGCACCTCCGATCTGACCACCGAGATCTCCCGATGATGCTCAGCTCCTTCTCCCGGTATAGCGTTGCCTCCACCCTCGCCGCCATCTGGCATGCCTTTATGCGCCCGAGGAGCGTGTGCACCATTGTACCTTGCACAAACTGGGTTCGCGAGGCTTGTTCCCCTCCTCGATCGACTCGGCTGTCAGAATCCCAACCACTAGACCATTGGGATAAAAGGGCTTATTAAGTAGCGGGTCAGTGCGCCCATAACCCCCTAGGACAACGAGCCTGTAACCCTTCCCTAGGATCAATCGGGGATCACCAGTGGACCTCTGACACCCCCCCGCACTGGGATGCCCGAAGTGCACACACTGGGATTCGAACCCGAGACCTTTGCTCTGATACCATGTCAGAATCCCAACCACTAGACCATTGGGATAAAAGGGCTTATTAAGTAGCGGGTCATTGCGCCCATAACCCCCCAGGACAACGAGCCTGTAACCCTTCACTAGGATCAATCGGGGATCACCAGTGGACCTCTGACATCGGCATCGAGCTTGCACTCACGTATCATGAACTTCACGTAGGCGCGCAGCCGGGTTTCGGTTACCCTAGGGCCGTGCAGCCAGATGTACTCCCAGGGTACCTCGGCCACTTTGTCCCAATTCTTCTTGTTCTCCCGGATGTAATGGCCGATCTCGTCGACGTGCCTAAGTCTGTGCTCCTGGGGAAGCTTGTCGCGTATTTGCATCAACATTTTCGCCGCCCACCTCTAGTAGTGGTAGATGAACGAGGTGTACAGCCTCAGCGTGCTATTCTTCTCCAAGGTTTGTAGGTGGCGTAGGGCGTCTATGACCAGCCCGTCGATGCATGCGTAAACCATGTCGTCCTCGACGAAGTCTGCCGCTCTCCACTGTTCGCGTGGCACCGCCATGTTCTGCTCGTCGTCCTCCTCGTCTTGTTCGAGCAAGTTATATATGTATTCAAGTTCCCGCCGGATGCGTTCTTCCAAGGTGCGCGGATTCGTGCTATGCGGAGGACGCTCGTCGTATTCGTCGTCACTCTCCTCCTCCTCCTCCTCCTCCTCCTCCTCCTCCTCCTCCTCCTCCTCCTCCTCCTCCTCCTCCTCCTCCTCCTCCTCCTCCTCCTCCTCCCCCTCGTCATCGTCGTCGTCATCAACCTGGTTTCCTGAGCCGGCCGGTAACGACGAAGGTCCAGGCTGCCCATCTTGCGTCGGGGTCGACTTACTCGCTGGCTTCGTAAACTCCCCTATCAGCGGTGGGGGAATTTCCTTGGTGAACTCCCCTTCTGGAATCTGTGTCAGTGCGTCAAGATCGTTGAGTAACTTGAGCGTCTCTTCGGGGGTAGAGGTCTGATTGTGGTCGGTTGGGGGACCAACGTCGGACATGTCGACGTCGGCCATGCGGCTGCTCGTAGTTTGCTATACCGTCGACCATGTTCAAGGTAAAGGATGGACCACCAGAGACGGTACTGAGTCGCGGGTGCGGTGTACACCCGATGAGTTGCTCAGGCGTCTTCGTCAGATTCTCTCTCAAGTGCTTCTAACTCAGCGGTGAGCTCGAGGCGTTCCAGCTGCGCTTTGATGTCGGCGTCTACAGAGTCGGCAGGGGGTGGGATGGGTTGCGGCTGTTGGGCTCTAGGCCGTCCTCTGGCCATGCGTTGCCAACCTAGTTAGTTTCTGTCGTCCCGTCTTGCTTGGTCAGTAGAGCTGTTGATACTATGCCGAGATGCTGCCCTAAAACATCCGACGTCGACGTCGACGCGTTCTGACCGTTCAGTTACCTAAACACCGACTTGAGTAGTGTATGCCAGGTAGACGCTACCGGTGCCGACATGATCGATTGGTCGGCGCACGAGTAACCCACACTCGTGAAGATAGCTAGGGAGCGGAAAATTCTAAGTGCAAGAGAGAGCAGGAAGGAACTCAGGAATGGACAAGGGAATGAGCACCAGCGCAAGGTCACGGAGGGCTATGGTCGTGAGCGACTCCGATTTCGCCGCGCTTCACGCAACCCCCAATGCTTGTGCCGCTATGCATGTGTTCTCGTGCAACGGCGCAGTGTCCGACGTGCCACGAGCCATGCATGGCTAATGGGTCGCCGCGCTGCACTCAAGGGGTGTAAGCTTGGGCACGTCCACGGTGGGATGTGCGTGCGTTACGTGGCATGGGCCCATCATTGGTGCCTCTATGCAGAAACGCCGGCATGCCAACTTCCATGGCCTAAGGGCATGGAGTTATTGAAGAGCCGCGTGGCAAGCCCACCGTGAGCCCCTCGTGGTCGGCACCGACTTTCCTTTAACCTAGACAGTGTTAAGGCACCAACCGATGGTGCCGCGTGGCTCGGATTAGGCCGTTGGATCCTTAGTCGACACCGACATGGCGAGCAGCTCGCGATGCCAGACAACTGTAACATTTTTTAGCGGACAGATTTTCGCCGCGTGGATCGGGCACCGACAAATTTGGGCACGCATTCGAGTTCCCGCGCCGAAATCGCGGCTCGACGTGCCGTGCTGTGAGTTTTTGTCTGCTGAGATGTCCTTCTTGGGTTTCTCTCAGCGAAACCCGAAGTCGTCAGATTGTCGACAATCCCGAGGCGTCGAGGGGCCCAGAGGTCTGCCATTTCACCCCAGTTTGCCACTCGGAGTCGTCGGGAGTTCGTCAATCCCGAGGAGGGTCCTTGTCCTATTGCAACCGCGAAATTGGGCAGCATTTTTTGTCGGCTGAGGTATATCTTCTCGGAAGAGTCTCACATCTAGACGTTACCGTTCCGCGACACGCATATTGACACTTCAATGACGGCACTATCAGAATGTTATAGTGCTTACATTTGTGTAGGCTATAGTGGGGTAGCCCATAAGGGGTACAACCCAATTAGGGTTAGTACTTGTACCCAACTCTTTCATAGTTCATTCATTCTTGTTCGTTAGTTTGACATGGTTTCAGAGCAGATCCTTCATTAGGACCGATTTTTTTTTGGCCCACCACAGCGCTGCTCCACTAGCCGCCCTGCTGGATCACGCGCCGCCCCTAGCGACCCTCGTGCCGCACCTGCTGCCCAGTGCGCCGCCCTCGTGCGGCCTGCCAATCGACCCTAGGCCCCAGCCCGTCGCCCGTCGCCCGTAGGCCCGTCGCCCCTAGCCCCGGCCTGTCGCCCGTTGCCCCTAGGCCCCAGCCCGTCGCCCATCGCCCCTAGGCCCCGGCCCGTCGCCCGTTGCCCGTCGCCCCTCGGCCCGTCGCCCCTAGCCCCGGCCCGTCGCCCGTCGCCCCTAGGCGCGTCGCCCGTCGCCCCTAGGCCCCGCCCCGTCGCCCGTCGCCCCCTAGGCCCCGGCCCGTCGCCCCTAGCCCTTAGGCCCCGGCCCGACACCCGTCGCTCCTCGGCCCGTCGCCCCTAGCCCCGGCCCATTGCCTGTCGCCCCTAGGCCCCGGCCCGTTGCCCGTCGCCCCTAGGCCCGTCGCTCCTAGGCCCCGGCCCGTCGCCCGTCGCCCCTCGGCCCCGGCCCTGGCCCGTCGCCCGTCTCCCCTAGGCCCCGGCCCGTCGCCCGCTAGGCCCCGGCCCGTCGCCCCTAGCCCCGGACCGTCGCCCGTCGCCCCTAGGCCCCGGCCCGACGCCCGTCGCTCCTAGGCCCGTCGCCCCTCGCCCCGGCCTGTTGCCCGTCGCCCCTAGGCCCCGGCCCCGGGCCGTCGCCCATCGCCCCTAGGCCCGTCGCCCGTCGCCCCTAGGCCCCGGCCCGTCACCCGTCGCCCCCTAGGCCCCGGCCAGCCCGTCGACCCCAGGCCCCCCGCGCCGCCCCTTGCGGCCCGCCCCTCGCCCCTGCAACCCGCGAGCCGCTCTTGCAGCCCCACGCGCCACCCCTGGTGGCCTCCTAGCCGCCCCTGCTGCCCTGCTAGCCGCCCCTTGCGGCACTCTCGCAGCCCCTGCAGCCCCGCGTGCCACCACTTGCGACCAGCCCGCCACCCCTAGGCCCTCGAGCCGCCTCTCTTGCAGCCTGCTTGCCGCCCCTCTCTGCTGCCTGCCCTGTTCCCTGCGCTACCCGGCTTCTGCCCGCCCTGCGTGCTGCGCCGCTATGGCTTCTCTCCGCGTTCTAGCGCGTTCGATCATGAGGGCCGCCCAATCCAGTTTCACACGTGGCTTGACGACCTGCAGCTGTACCTACTAAGCGACTCTAAGGATAGCATTTCGTTGTTTGACCACGCATTTGGTGCTGCTCCCGCCCCTCCCGCCATAGCTGACAGTGCGACTCGCTCACAGTGGCTTACTCGTGACGCTGCTGCTCGCTTAGCCATTCGCAACCACCTGTCGTTAGCCGAATGCGCTCACTTCGGATAGCACAGGACAGCACAGGCACTGTACGACGCTGTAGTCGCCCGTTACTCCTCGCCTGCCACTGCTGCTCTAGGCCGTCTTCTACTGCCCTACCTATTTCCTGAGCTGTCCGCCTTTGCCACAGTAGAGGACCTAGTTTCCCACCTTTGCACTAGTGACGCTTGCTACCGCGTTGCCCTCCCAGCAGAGTTCCTTGACAGGAACCCGCCCCCGATGTACATCACTCTCTACTTTATAGTCACCCGCCTCCCTGACTCTCTTCGCGCTGTCAGGGACCACTTTCTCACACTTGACCCCACAGCCCTCACTGTTGACCTACTCGAGCAGCACCTCCTTGCAGCTAAGACTAGTGTGGTCGCTGTAGGTGCCGCTCGTGGCACTCCTCGCACGCCCTTCTTTGAGGGGTGTTCCCCCTCCCCCCTTGCCCCCTCCTACGCCTCTGCTGCTGATGCTGAAGTCCTTAGTGCTGAGGATGTCGGGGCTGCTTCTGCTAGTGCTAAGCGCCGCAGCAGCAAGGGCAAGGGTGGCAGGGGTGGTGGTGGTGGCAGCGGGGGTGGTGGTGGGGGCAGCAGTGGAGGTGGTGGTGGCAGTGGAGGTGGTGGCGGTAGTGGGAGTGGTGGCAGGAGTGGGGGCTTTCGTGGCGGTGGTGGTCGCAGCAGTGGGGGTGGTGGTAGTGGCGGCAGTGGGAGTGGTGGTGGTCGGGCTGGAGCTCCTCAGCGAGGAGGTTCTGGCGGTGGCCAGAGGCAGCAGCAGCAGCGTCGAAGCGAGACCCCGTCGCCCCAGCACCTGGGGTTTTCTCAGCGTGGGGCGTCTGGGGGTAGTGGTAGCTGCCCGTATGTCATTCGCAGGGGTGACCGTGCTGGTCAGACATGCGGGAAGCCTCACACTCAGCACCGCTGATTCTCCCGCCTCGACGACCCTTGGCGCACAGAGTTTGGTGATGAGGCCAAGCGCCCCCGCTGGGCAGAGCTGCTTAGGTCTGGATTTGCTATCTTTGACCTAGACTATGATGCTATCTTTGCTGCTATGTATGCTTTGTCTGTTAGTGCTGAGGGTGACTGTTACCTGTGTGTGCCGCCTGACCCAGGTAAAGAGGCTGCTTCTCTAAGTGCTGGTGAGTCTGCTCTCCTTGATACTGCGTCTGCTGAGGCCTTGCACACCTTTACACTTGACTCAGGTGCTTCACGCTGTTTCTTTTGCGACAGCACCACCCTCACTCCTCTCTCTGCACCTGTACCGGTCGAACTCGCTGACCCCTCCGGGGGCCCAGTCCTTGCCCGTTCCTCCACTGTTCTCCCGTGTCCGGCGGTTCCGTCCGGCTCACTATCAGGCCCTCACCTCCCCTCGTTCTCTACGAACTTGGTGAGTACCGTTGCCGTCCAGGACGCGATGGTCACTACCACCACTCCTGGGGGTCAGCGTGTGTTGATCTGCATGTGTACACGGACGGGCCGCCACCTGGCAACTTTCACACATCGGCCAGGGTCGAGTCTGTACACACTGGCTACTGAGCCTCCTCAGGTAGCTGCGTCTGCCAAGGTGTCCGCGTCTGGTCCGGTAGCACCCCCTTGCTCGTGTCGCCTCCTGTCACACCAGACACTCCCGTGGCACCACCGCCTGGGTCACCCCTCCCTGCCACGCCTTCGTGGCATGCACTCCCGCCTCCTTGTCTCTGGTCTTCCCAGGTCTCTTCCTTCCCTCCCGCCCTCGCCTGCCCCGCCCTGCCTTCCTTGCGTCGAGGGGCGGCAGCGCGCCGCTCCTCACTCCTCCTCGTTTCCCCCGACGACAGCTCCCCTGCAGACTCTCCACATGGACGTGTGGGGCCCAGCCCGCGTCAGGGGACAGGGCCGCGAGCACTACTTTCTGCTGGTTGTTGACGACTACACACTTTACACCACGGTCTTCCCCTTGCGCAGCAAGGGTGAGGTCCCTGATGTCTTGATCCCTTGGATCCGCGCAGTCCGTCTCCAGCTTCGCGAGCGGTTCCGCCAGGACCTTCCTGTCCTGCGTCTGCACTCTGACAGAGGTGGTGAGTTCTCCTCCGACCTCTTGCGGGACTTTT